GAACTTGTCGGAGCGCAAATGATGTCCCTTGTTACAAGGTTGATTCCTTTGTCAGGCAAACCTATGCTTAACGGTCTGCGAGAACATTGGTGTCCCGACCCACCACGTGCCATACTTTGCAGACGGTATCATTCCCAGGTGACACGTGAACAGTGCCCACCACCTCGGGTGAACTCGGTTCAGTTGAGGGCCCTTTGGCTTGGCTTTTTTGAGCTCCACCGCCTTTCGGTACCAGGATTGCACAGGTTTGTGGCCTGGACCTGCATCAAAACGGCTCGGTTCTTTGGGCTGACACCCAAAACATATTGCCGCGCGCCAGCAGCAAGGCGGATGTTTTGGGGACCCGGTCGATGTGTGTGTCTTTCTCCGGGATCTCGCAAAGGCTCCGCTCGGCAACGGCGGGCCCCGCTGAACGTTCGGGGCCTTGGTTTTCTTCGGGTGGTGGGGCTTTTGGGCTGGCAGGTTGAGGAATCCAGGGTCCACATTGCATTTCCCTTTTGGCGTTTTGTTTAATTAAACATCATGTTTCATGTTGTTGTCAATGTGATGTTGAAAGGGGAAATGGGGAGGCCATTTTGGCAGACATGTGTGTGTGTGTGTGTGCGTACATCAAATAAACAATTAATATAACATAACATGATATGATATGATAGAATATAATAACATATAATATATATATATATACATATATGTATATATATATATAGATACAGATATCAAAAGCTCTCGAAAAAAAAAAAAAAAACCCGGTCCGTTTGGATTGAGATTGAAGAACCACCACAGATAGTCGCCCTTACGTTTTGCTTGCCGACAGCCAGTCAAGGAGAGAATGCTTTGCCTCAAACCGCTAGGCTAGCTCCCGGCTTTTCTCTGGAGGGTCGGCTCGTCTGAAGTTCCGATTGGTGACCCAACGCACCTGGCCGGATTTCATGTCTGTCCCTTCTTCGGCAACCTGGGAACCAGGCCAGTGCAAGTACGTGACGCTTAAGACCAACATGGGGGTCCGCCATTCGGGAGCCCGATCTCTAGGCCAATGGCCAACCCCGTCCCACGTCCCAGCTCGTTTCCGCCTTTCAGGGTTGGACCAAGCCACAGGTAGAGCATGGGTGGGTCCTTGTGCTTTCCTTCTCCCCAAAAAAACTAGAGCAACCATGGTAAGGATCTATTTGTTTTCCTTCCGGAAAAAAAAAAAAAAACACACACAAAAACAACACACACACACACAAACAAGAAAACCATCTTCTGCACCGGCTGATGCGGTCCACTGGGAGCACCTCAGCTTCCCCCGGCGGTTTGGCTCCCAGGCGGTGAGTAGCTTGATGCTGGTGGCCGCCTGCGGCCGCGGCATCTGCTGGCAGGAGGCGCCCGGGGACCTCGGACAAACCAAAAAATCCGCTTGAGACGGACACATTTTTTTGTTGGCCAAAGCTCCTGTTATTCATGTGCCCACACAGCACAGGATTCTTTTCTCCGCCTTCTTGAGACGGACCCCCTTTTTTTTTGTTGGCCAAAGCTCCAAGGGTTGGTTCCCCATTCTTTCGTCGCACGTGCACTCAGTGGCTTCAGAATGGGGAGGTGTGGCTTAGAAAAGCACCTGTAAACCAGCGCCCACACAGCCCTTGATAGATGAGACAAGTCTTTTTTTTTTCGCCAAGCGGCTTGTCATAAGTTACTAAATTTGCAGCCTGCAATGGGATGCCGCGGGGGGTTCTCGCCAAGACACTTGGAATGCAACCGATGCATGCCCATTTGACTGTGTTTTTCGCATCGTCCTTTTTGGGTTGGTAGTTGATCATGTGATTGTTTGAATTCTGTTTCTGGCAATGAATGGATGCGTGCCAATTTTCGCCCCGCCCCTTTTGACTCTTATCTTGAAAGGCAACACATGGGCAGTGGTGACCCGAAAGCAAAGACACGCCGATTGGCAAGTCAAAGGAAACCAGGTGCAGCAAGGGTGACTTCTTTGTTTTTTGCAGGGCCCTTAACCTTTCGACTTTGGATGAGGACTCAGAGGGACCCCATTAAGATGCTTGGCTCACTTGGTTTTCCTTCGCTCGGCAGCTGTCCAGCAAATGACTCGTTCTCAAGTCTTGTTTGTTGCATGTCTAAAAGAGGGGAGGGGGTAGACTCAAATTTGAAAACATCGTGTGTGGGCCCAGACGTGCCTGCGAGCATCGTTACAGAACTGTGGGTTTAAGGTTGCCCCTTTCTGCGATATCCTTCAGCATGGTGAAGCCGGCACACGCATGGGAAACTTACTTTGGTCCACATATTTTGGACGTTGAACAAAAACCTCACGCGTGGCTTTGGATGGTGTCTAATGGACGGACCGCACACAATATCCAGACGTCATTCAACTCACTACTCAAGCAACCCAGAATCTTCATGCTGCGGAGAAACATTGAACCCAACAAGTCTCTGGCCTCAGAGGCTCTCATCTTGTGGCACCCCCCTTTTCGGATATGTCAACGTGCGGGGGAGTGGCCATTCCAAGATACTCTGCCACGTTATGGCCTTCACGTGTTCCGACTGCAGCGTGCTCCAAACGAGGTTGGAGGAGCTACGCGCCAGAGACCCAGGTCCTGCATGAGTGACTGGGTGAAGTACATGTGGCCATTCTACAAGGGACTTACTTCCTAATTTTTCTTGGGCAATGTCTTCCTTCGGTGAGGGGGCACACACACACACACACCCACGCGCCTGCGTAAGATTTGATCGCATATATATATATATATATGGTCACCCCCCCCCCCAGGGCCTACCTTTGCCCTCTTCTAGTTGAAGGTGTCAACTCTACTCTGTGTGCCTCTTTCTTGCAGATGCCTGAAAACACTGTAAAATACAGTGTTTTTGTTGTTTGTTTACCTTCTATGTGACAGCAAATGTCTGATTATTTGAGGCTTGAAAGGCAGCAAAGCGAAAACGGATTCCGTTTTCAGATTCGAGCCTGGCTTTGATTGAATCACTGGTTTTTACAGTGGTTTTGAGTACACCAGGGAAAAAACATTGAAAACATGATGTTTTTGGCAGCTTTGAGCTCTGCAACCTGCACAGACCCAAAAGCACAAAATCTCCTGAAAATGAAAGCTCTGAGACCTGCACATGCCAAACACATCTCCAGACCAAGTTTGGGAGTCTGGGGATATGTGCCCTTTATTTGTTTAGCCACATTTAAGGTAAATCATATTTGGGAATGAGTTACTATTAAAATTTGTTTGCAAAGGCCAAGTGATTTCTTTCCAGAATAAGCTATATTCCAATTCAAGTTGTATTTGGGGATGGATTCTTGATTAAATTATTATGTTCAAAAGCTCATTGAATTCTGTCTGCGTTAAAGTATATTTGGATCCTACTGCAATGATATTTTGCTTATTTGGAAAGGTATTCCTGTTCAAATTCTGATCTAATATAGACATTATGGTGAATTATGAATGGTGGTGAACTATGTGCTTCCCAAAATCTATTCAATGCGCAAATTCAATTCGGATCAAAATCGTATTTGGAAAGGAATGTGTACTTGGATATGTTGGACTCCAGGCTCCAAATTATGAGGCTTGGAGAATCCAACACTAGACATTTCGAGGATTCTGATCTCCAGATTCTAGGTTTCAGGTTTCAAATTGGACATGTCAAGGGATTAGAGATCCAACAAAATGCTGTAAAACACAGTGTTTTGCAGCAGTTGCTCAGATTGCGTTCCCTTGGACCAAAGATTGTTTTCCCCAAACAACGTTTTCCCTTCAACATTCCAATTCAATTCGCAGTATTTGGAAAGGAATCTATATAGAAAATTTGGAGGACTCCCAGCTCCAAAATATGAGGCTTGGAGAATCCAACATAAGACATCTCAAGGATTCTGATCTCCAGATTCTAGGTTTCAGGTGCTTCACCATGGACATTTCAAGGGATTGCAGGTCCAACAAAAAACTGTAAGACAAAGTGTTTTGAAGAAATTGCTCAGATTGTGTTCCCTTGGGCCGAAGATTGTTCATTTCCCGAACAACATTTTGCCCCCTTCAACCATCATTCCAATTCAATTCGGAGTAAAATCCTTTTTGGAAAGGAATTCATGTTGGAGTACTCCAGGCTCCAAATTATGAGGCTTGGAGAATCCAACATCTCGAGGATTCTGATCTCCAGATTCTAGGTTTCAGGTGTTTCAAATTGGACATTTCAAGGGATTAGAGATCCAACAAAATGCTGTAAAACACAGTGTTTTGCAGCAGTTGCTCAGATTGTGTTCCCTTGGACCGAATGGACAGCCTTTGATATAACAGTGCAGCAGTGATGACACACCCACACACACAATCATCAACCTTTTAGGACCACATGCCCAAACCACATCAAACAAGGCCTCAAATGAGTGTCCTTTTTTTCCCAAACAACAGTCTCCACTTGCTACGCAATAAGCCTACAGAAGGTTTATAAACTTTCAGGAAAGTTTATAAACCTTATTGAGTGTTTGACGAGTTTCCCGCATCAAGGCAACAACACCCTACGAAGTGTTCATGGTATCGTTGAAGGAGGGGGGGGGGTGGTTGGAAGTCTTGGGAGGGGGGGGGGGGGGGGTTGGTTGGAAGTCTTAGCAGTGAGGAGTGTGAGCTCAGCCAATCTTTGTTTAAAGACTTCTCAGTCACCCACCCCCCCCCCCCCTGCCTCTTGTTTTAAGCGAATACCGTCAAACCCTTGACATGGTTTATAAACTGTCTTGAAAGTTTATAAACTCTTTGCTGTTGTTACTCAACATGACTTGTCACCCACAAAAATATGCAGCAACAGCACACTTCTTGCGTAAACACCCCCTGTCCTTAAGAATAAGAGGGCTTCGTACATTTTGAGGTGGAAAGGTAGGCCCTGGAGGGGGGGGGTGAGCATATATATATATATATACATATAGATATATATATATATATATTATGCACACGTTTTAGAGCTCTCCCCATTTGAGGTTGTTTTAGAGGGAAGCTGAGGGGAACTCAAATTGAGCGCCCGAACTCCCG